TCTTTTTCAATATTAAGTGATATCAACTGTTTCATTTCACTTATGAATTTGGCTCCTTCTACACCAATTCGATTGTAAGAAATATCAAGTGATTTTAATTGTTTCACTTCACTTATGAATTTGACTCCTTCTATACCAATTCGATTGCCACAAATATTAAGTGATGTTAATTGTCTCATTTCACTTATGAATTTGACTCCTTCAACATCAACTTGAGTGTAAGAAATATCAAGTGATGTTAATTGTTTCATTTCACTTATATATTTGGCTCCTTCATCAATTTCATTTTTACCAATATTGAGTGATATCAACTGTTTCATTTCACTTAGATATTTGGCTCCTTCATCACCAATTAGATTGGCAGAAATATCAAGTGACGTTAATTGTTTCATTTCACTTAGATATTTGGCTCCTTCATCACCAATTTGATTGGCAGAAATATCAAGTGACGTTAATTGTTTCATTTCACTTATGAATTTGGCTTCTTCATCACCAATTCCATTGCCAGAAATATTAAGTGATATCAATTGTTTCATTTCACTAATGAATTTGGCTTCTTCAAAAGAATCAAGCAACCAATCAGAATATGTAACATTAACAATACAATTCATAAATTGACTTTTCAAAAATAATTGAACTCGTTTCTTTGTAAATTTTTTTTTAAATTGAATAGCAAGTTTTGAACGTTCCTTGATCACATTAAAGAATTGTTTTGAAATTAAAGTACAATTATTTAAAATAAACCATGAATCATCAATCATGGAAATTATTTCAAAACAAATGTCATCTGAAAATATTTCTTGTTCCAGTTTTACAACCTTTTTTGATTTCTCTTCCATATTATTATTATTAAAATTGTTAGTGAATATTTCCTCCGAATTAATGAATTGATGATTTTCAAAATCTTGTCTGTTTCGTTTGCTCATTTTTTTAATAAAATTTTAATAATATTTAATTTTTTTAGAATATGGTGTGATTGATCACTTGTAAGTATTGACTTCACAATCCTTCATAGATTCGAGAAATTATTTGGTGAGATGGTATGCAACCAAAGGAGAAGTTTATTGTTGTGGAACCATCTCATTAAGGCAACAATTCCTATTGGAAATTTCCATTATATTAGAATTCACTTGGAGAATTATACAACAATTCAAAGAAAGTTTGTAAAGAAACAGCTCCCTTCTTTGGTTATTTGGCAGATTTTGAAAATTTATTCAAATAAATGATTTACGCAATTGATCTTTTCAAGTTTACAAAGCTCCCACTACTTACTGCATCTCATTGATTCATTGAGAAACTGCCCTTTGGATCTTTGAGAAAAGGGTTTGCTATTCAGATAAGGTGGAGCCGTATCCAAACAATTTTCCAACTGTACTGTACTGTACACTTACTGGATGGATAAAGAGCAGGTGCAGTGGAAAATGTGAGAAGGTTTAATAATATTGGATGATGCATTTTTCCTCAATGTTTTTTTCTCTTTCTCACAAATAAAATCAACCAGAAGTTAGACTTTGTATTGCAAGGAAGTTGAGGAGAAATGGAGTAATATATGGCATTACCCACTTGTGTTGTCCCATTGAGCCTTGTCCAGTTTACCGAATAAACGTGATTTTCCGCTTTTCGATTTCTTTTCGGTTGCGTTTTGTTAATAAAATTTTTGTTTTTATTTGAAAAGAACATTTGGTGGTTGTTTGCGGACAGGTTGAAAGCCGAGTGACAAGTTTGTCAACTTAGAGCAAATACGAACAATTCGTTGGTGCTTTTTAAGGTCTTGTTGTAGGATGCATCAAACGAAGAGAGAGATTGTCCTTTTTTCGCTTTCACTGGCGAAATTACGTGTTTTGCTTTTTTGTACGCTTTATCACCTAACACTCTTTCGTCTGGACCAATGTTCGGTTCTTTTTCTTGCAACCATTCATCCCACATCTTTTTGTCATGCATCGCACCAGGATACGCATTTGAAACATCAAGAATTTTCGCTGTTGTCAAACTCACTAACATTTGATACTTCAATACATGCATTCGCTTTTTATACGAATAATACAATTTCTGTTTGGCCCATAGTTTTTGCTTTTCGATTCTGCTTAATCCGGATTTCTTTCTACCAGACGGATTTTCAATCCTACATTCTGTACCATCAACAACAGCTTTAATCCTTCTGAACATACCAGTAGCTGTGTTATTAATATCTTTTCTATCATCAATATTTAGTGGTGGTAGATTGTTATCTAATACTTTTTGTCCTTTTTCAATGTTTGTGAAATATGATGAACGTGAAACATTCCAGTAAACAGGATGAACAAGTGAATTCGGATAAAGTGTTAAATATTCCATCAATATTAAAAACCATTTTTCACTCAATTCGGCCAACTTTATGGTTATTCTAATTCACAAGTGAGAAGAGCATATTATTCGATTTTCGGTAAACAAAAAACAAAAAACGAAACCGAAACCGAACCGGAAGATGACGATGTTTCCGAAAATGTTGATGAAGATATGATAGAAAGACAAGAATTTACTGATAGAATGGACAGTTATCTTGCTGAATCTGAGCAAAAAACTGAGAAGAAGAGAAAGAGACAACTTGAGAAGGAGCCAACTTATGATGATGAGATGATGAATGTGATTACGAACAATCAGATGAAGATTACGAATATTCGGATGAAGATATTTTACCGGCAACTCCGTCGAAAGTAACAAAGGTAGTGAGCATTAATGACAAATCAACAAGTTTATTCCGTCCTTTTAGATTCGAATCAGAGACTCATCGCTTCATCATTTATAGATTTCCCACATGGACTGATTTTAAATTTTCACATGTGGAGATGTCAAAAGAAAAGATGATAGTTATTCATGTGAAGATTAATGCTAAACTTTCCGAAAGTTGTGTAGTAGAATCTTTCGCTCCATTTGCGAAAAATTTAAAAGCGAACACTGACAGAAAGGATGAACAGTTCACCATCAAAGAACCGGTTCCGAAAGATGTTGATGTTAAAACTGTAAAGTGTGGTCCTTTGAATTTGAAAGGCCTTAGTAGTACCGTTTCAGTTTTACCTAGTTGTAATAAACATCGGAAATCTATTTATGAATTTACACAAAAAACTCGAGGAAGTTAAATGATCATAAATATATATATATATATATATATATATATATATATATATTTTTATTTTCAACATCAATTTGTTCCAGTTAATTTTAAATCCATAGCTCTAAGAACCTCGTTAAAACCATTTGTCTTTTTCTTGTTGTTAAAGTTTTTCCTTGCTTTGATGAAGGATCTGTTAAACTCCAAAACAGTATCATCTAAAAACAATTTTTCCTCTTTGTTCACATCTAATTCAACTAAAGTATCCTTCAGCTTGTATTGTTTTCTAGTAATTGTTACATCTTGTACCTTGAAAATATCATTGTTCAATTCGTCAATAATCAATTTCAATTCATTTCTACAGGCAATAACTTCTGATGAATTGACAGATAATCCATCATAACCATGAATGCATTTTCCCTTGTAAACTTCATTCAATTCTAACGTCTTGTTTAGCATTACAAATTTCTTATTTTTGTAATCTAAAATCTTATCTTCAGTATAATTTTTGGAATTCGCAGCCATAACCCCAAATGCAATTTCTCCAATTTCTTCGGAGAACATAGTAAAATTTTCCGTAAAAAAGTCATGAAACGTTTTGGACTTCTTCTTCCAAAATTCAAATAACAAAGATTGGAATATTTCTGCATTCCTATACAAGTTATGTTTTCCCAAAATAAATAGGTATGTTAATACATCTCTAGATAATGAAAATTCATTCCAATTTCCAACTCTCAATGCATAATAATAACTTCTAAGGGCTGGTAAAATTGTCTCAAAAAGAATTGTAAAGTTTTTGGCAGCTATCGTAGTAGTTCTAACATAACAATCATCAGGTAGAGTGTAGTAAGCAAGAGAAACAACATTAATTATATCAGTTAGTTGTTGTAAACCCATTGATTTTTCAAGATAGCTGGTCACATTGGGATAAGCAGCTTTCAATAAGCGCAATAAATAGTTTTTTCCAAATAGTCTCCAAGTTACAATTGATCCCATTTTATAAACGTGCCAGAAACCGTTTACACAGATAAATCTTTGTGAATAGTGTTTAAAATTAGTATAATTATGAGACAGTTGAATAATCTTTAAAAATATATATATATATATATATATATATATATATATTTTAAAAAAAAACTTACCTTGTAAACTCTTTGAAAAATGTTTACATCAACCTTAAGCATTATCATTTTGTCTTTTGGATACTTTGAATCTAGCATCATCAGAACTTGTAAAAGACCTTCGTTTGAATTTATCACATAGGGATCTAGACTTACAGTACGATACTTTGACATTGAAGTGTAGTCATTTACGTGTCCATCTGGGTTTCTAATTGGATTATTAAAAAAACCGTCTTTTGAGGGATGTGACTGAAAAGCCCAACAACTATAAACATTCTCATCATCAAAAGGGTCAATACTTGTTATTGTGTTAAAAACAGATTCATAACAGAATCCGTCGTCCATATTAAATATTACATTATCAAATACTGTGAACTTTTGTAATACAAGTTTTTGTTTTTTAAATGTGAAACCAGTTGCTGTATAATGTTGATTTGTAAAAACAGCTCGTACAACCTTCATCCTTTTATAGGAAAATATTAAATCAAAGTTATCTACATGAAACACAACAAGTATATCATCATCTTCAATAATAATTTTAGTTTTTTCCTTTTCTACTCCATAAACTCTATCAAAGTGTCTGTAGAATGTTGTTTTAAATAATCTATTTTGTGTAAAACTTTTGATAATTCATTACTTACCCCATATCACAAGAGCTTAATAAATACTCGGCAAAACTGTTTGAACAGTTATTACGAATAAACATGGCATGAAGAAATCTTTGTTTGTTGTTGTTTCTTTTATGATACTTTAAAAGTGTTAAAACATGAATATGAAACTTCTGCTTATAATTCCACAATTCTTCTGAAGTAATATCATTATTGAAAATTAGTAAATTTTCTCTAGAAAATTAACAATTAGACTGGTAAATGTGTGAACAACATACCGTTCCTTAATAACAAATGATTCAAACATCTCGGAGTTTCCTTTGAACACTAAGAAAAAATATATATATATATATATATATATATATTTATTACTTCAACAACATACATAAAGATGGGTATTCTTGGTTGAAAATTGATGAGGTTGTACTAGGGTGAATGACATTGTACCCTTTCAATTTGAAAAATGCGTCGTACAACCAAAACTGCTCAATTTTCATGTATTTGTTTTGTTGTTGAAAATTTAAAAAAAAATGCCAAAATCACCTTCAGCAAAAACAAACAAACCAACAAGCCCAAATCTTACAAAACCACAACCTCCATTCAAGAGACAAGCAATTCCGTTGCCGGAAAACATTGAACTTTTAAGTTGGAAGAGAGGAATTAATTCAAACAATTATATTTCTAACGGTGATAATTTTTGGTCTTTCCGTTTTGAAGATGGTTTGTTAACATTAACAAACTATCCGATGAGAACTGATGATGACGACCATCAAGTGGTTGATATTTCCGGTGGCAGTAAAGTCGTAGGTAAATTGATGACTGTTGCCCATGTTGCTACTGATCCTAAAAGTGTCAATCAGGTTATTGGAGTAACTGTATTGACAAATAGTGGTGTTAAAAACTTGGTTTTGCGCTTTGGTGATCTTCTAACAAGTGAGTTTACAAAGGAGAGCGGATTTGACCGCTCCCACTGTAAGAGGGTTGATATTTTTGTAAGTAAGTATCGTTAATATATATATATATATATATATATATATTTGTATATATCTAGAACATTGGAATAGTTATTTAACAGAACAAATGCAAAATGAGGGTGATGACGAAGCATCTAAAGATAAGACAACCCCAAGCAGGGATAAAAAGTCAAATCCATCAATTTTTGATGATGAAGATGAGAATGAGGATGATGGTGTTAGTAAACAACTCAACTTTACTCAAGAGGACGTTCAAGATTTTAATTCCTCTAAAGAAACACCATCAGTTTCGAAGCTTAAGATCAAGAAAAGTAAGTACTAACTTGTTTATGTTTGTGTTAACAATTTGCAGAACCAAGAGCTTCTCTTACTTCCTCTTCTTCCTACGTTGTAAAAGGTTCAATGTCAACCTCTAAAATTGCCTCCATCATTGTACCTAAAACAGACACACCTACCAACAAGAAAGATTTAGAGCTTGGTAGGACTGGAGAAATAATCAAACAATTTGGTTTTCCTGCTAGTGTCTCCATTAAGGTAACAAGAATTAAAGTTCCAGAGTCATCCATAGCTGTTCGTGAAATCAGTTTAGAGCATGTAAAATCAATTGTTGATGAGATTAGAGGTGGTGGAAAAGCGTTGAGCTCCGAAGTTGGTTTGGTTGAGATGAAAGTCGCTCCAAACAGTTCTGCTTCAGGTATGTAGTCAAATATATATATATATATATATATATATATATATTTTAATTTCAGTGACTATCAAAAATCTTGTACAAAAGTTGAAAAGAGAGAATAGGGACGAAGATGCAATAATGGAAGAATTGCAAGAATTAATTGAGAACGATGAAGAAAACATCGAACTGTTTGTGCATGGTAGTACTCATTATACCCTTGCATTAACAGCTGCTTTTCAACAATTACCTCAGATTGAAAGGACATCTGAAAACACACCTAGACATGACTATGTAAGTTTATTAATAATTTCTTTTCTTATTGTATTAGTATGTTGTATTCAATATCCCAGATCATGAGTTATTGCAATTAGCAACAATGCACAATACAAACGTCAAACAATTAGCTATGGATTTCCCTTCAATACTTATTAACGTGAGAAGAACCTTAAAATTCTTTCTAACGAAATATCCTAACTCTGTAATGTACGTTAACTCAGATGGAATAGAAGGTAAGTATAAATATATATATATATATATATATATATTTTTTCACAAATAATTTTTTCAGAGAGGAGACTTATTAGATTTGTGGAAGGAGGAGCAAAGCTTTTTAAAAGCGAAATAATTAAGGTATTTGGTCTCAATGAAAACTCAGCAATACACTATCAGACTCTATCATTTTGGTCTCATAGATGTTGGGATAGGCTTGTTGAAATTGCTAAAACTAAAAAGAAGAATAGTAATACTCCTTTACTTAAAAGTTTAGCTACTTTTATTACAAAGGTTGGTAGTTGCAAAGGTATTCCTGAAGAAGAGATATATTATTCGCTTGAGCAATTCTTGAATTTTGGTAACATTCAAAGTATGGTTAATCATATCAATCATACCAAGTGTGTATTATTTGGATTTAGCGAAATTACAAAGTATTTTTCTGAAATACCTGATTTAAAAGGAATGGCAAAGAGACTTCCAAACATTTACAAAGCATTAGTTAGTGATTCAATGCACGACTCAGAATTGAAACAAGTAGAAGAAAAAACATTGTCATTCACTTCCACCGACTTGTACTTAAATATTAGAAGAGAGTTAAGTGGAAACCCTAAAACTTCTTCGACTACAGATGTATCATTTCCAGTTGTGACAGAACAGTTGAAAGTAGAACGAAATGGTTATTCGGCAATATTATTATATGGAGATGTTTTGGAGTTAGCAAACATCTTTCCAAAGAAAGTATCGTATGGTAAGTTTTAAAATATATATATATATATATATATATATATATATTTTCAAATGTAGATTTAATGATTTGCGATTTGCCATATGGTGTTTTTAAAGATTCCCCTTATGATGTCTTATTTACTGATGACCAATTGAAAGAGTTTATTGACAATTTATACCAAATCACTCCAGACACGAATTTTCCAACTTGGATCTTCTTTGGGGAGTATAAGCAAATTGTAAAGCTTCAAGAATTAATTGAACTAAAGAAAGGCAATGCAGTTATATGTATTTGGGTGAAAAATGGTCGTCAATTTGGTGCAAACTTTGGTACGTATAAGTATGAAAGCTTCCTTCTTTGCTTCCCCAACAAGCAAGTGAATATCAAGCCACAGGGTTTCAGTTTATCACCATTCAGTATTTGCTTTCCATCAGAGACTAACTTTTTGAAAGACTCCAACTCAAGAGAGTGTAACAAGGGTCAGAAGCCTCTTTCTTTAATTTCGTGGCTTGTTTATCAATTTTCCAACGTTGACGGTATTGTTCTTGATTTATGTTCGGGAACTGCCACCACAGCAGTAGCTGCAGTTAGTTATGGTAGAAATTCGATCAGTTTAGAAAGTAATCATGGCCAATTCGAACACGCTGCAGAACGACTCAAATTATCAGAATTTGAGAAGGTAAATTTTGAACCCTTAGTTGTTTGTACAGTATCTGAAGACAAGGAAAAAAAGGAAAAAAAGAAATCTACAAAAAGAAAAACAGCACCCACCAAGAAAACACCGAAAAAAGCAAGCAAAAAGAAAAAAACTGAAACACCTTTAAAGGGAAGTAAAATGCAATCGAAAAAGGCAGAGGAAATTGCGATGAAATACATAGACAGCGAAGCAGTAGAAATGGCATCTGATGAAGAGAATGTCAGCGAAAAAGATGAGGAAGAAGATGATGAAGAATAGAGGGAAATGATATTAATAAAATGAATTAAACGAGTTGTTGTCCATATATATATATATATATATATATATATATTCACACAAGTATTAGTTAAAATACTAAAACATTAAATTTCAAATCTCTAAAAACAACAAAAAAAAGTTTATGAATCTACAAAACTAAATACTAAAAATCGAATTATGACCAAGAAATACACTAAACCATCAAACGGTACTACTAAGAAGGCGTTTACGATTTGGATGACCGTGTATTCGCAGTGCTATTAGAAAAGAAATTGCAAACATTCGCACCAACTTTTGATGCTAATGAATTGTCAAATTTCATTGCGAAGGCTTCTGTTACAAGTAGCTCTTCTGACACACAACTTGTCAACACTCAAACATCACAAGCGCTTACCAGCAACTCCACTGCCGCCACAACAGAAGATGCAACCGGCAACAAAGAAATCGCAAACGCAACTCAAAACACAAGAGAAGAGTCTGAATAAACAATTTCACTTCTGCTTTCATTCGAATTTCCGAATTTTCCTGTTTTTCCGTTAAGTCGGACACAGCTCATTGATTGAAACAGAATTGCAATTTCTTGAGAGAATGATGACCTTTCAACTCGGAGTTTTCTCGTTTACCCGCAACGATAAAATCCTTAAAAAAATTTTTACGCAAAAAAAAACGTTTTTAACCTTTCTGTGCGATTTCTGCGTTCATCAAAAAGACACCACAAAAAACACAAGAAGGGACAAAAAACTATGAAGCCTTTAGCTGTGATGGTGAAAGTGGAGCCTGGGCAACAACAACAATCGCCATCCACTCCATCCACACCAACCAATTCCTCCTCCACCAATAATACCACAAATAATTCTCATATTGCTTCTAGTGGTCACCATCATCATGTGGGTAATAATCATAATCATCAGCACAATAATTTAATCATGATGAATCCGAGTTCATCAATTTACCCTTCCTGTTTGCCTCTTGCTATGAAGAGCAATTCTTCCTCTTTTATTCCTTCCCAGACACCTCCACCTCCACATCAACAAGGATTCAGTCTTCCTTCCATTCATAATTTGACTTCACAACAACCATCTTCAAAAGTCATGGTGGATCACATTCATCACTATCAACAACAACATCCACAATCGTGGCGTGGTAATAATATGGAACCAAAACCACCTCTTCATAGTAATGGTGGTCATGATTTGATGGAAGCCTTGTCAGCACAACCACAAACTATTGTAAGATATGCACCTCCTCTTTATCAAGCCATTATTCAACCAAGTATTGATATTGTTCCTATGGATAGTTTTATTCCTGGCTATATATCTGGATACAGAAAGACTCCACAGCAAGTAACAATTGGGACAAGTCCTGAAATGCAACCATCATCTAATCCTTCCTCTTCCACAACAACTGGAATTATTGTCACAAACAGTCCTACCATGACACCAGTTAAGGTTTCTCACTGTATTGCTGACCAAGAGTTGGTAAAGACAACACAATCAGTAATAGTGGCCTCCTCATCCGCCCAACAAGCCCCTTCATCCAATAACACCCAAACCCAACAACCACCCACAGATCCAAGTCAAGCCAGAATGGCATGTATAAATTGTAGAAAATCACATCGTAAATGGTAAGTATTTTCAATGTATTAGGCAGGTTGTTATTGACTCTAATTTAGTGGTAAGTATTTGTAGAGATTACAGTAAAATTTACAGACCCCATTTTAAAGATAAGGGAATGCCTTGTGGTGAATGTAAAAAGAGAGGAATACCTGATGAATGTGTTTATTATGAACCTAAGAAGAGAGGACCAAAGATGAAGACAGCTGAAGAGGAAGCTCAAAGTAAGGAGGAAGCAAAGAAAAGAAAGGTCTCTAAGAAGAATGAGGTTCCCTCTGCAACAGTAGTAGATTTGGAAAGGACCAATCTATTGCAGTCTAACTCTCAGATAATTGCCTCCAGCAGCTCCAATGCAGCAACTACCACACCAGTAATCCCAGCCCTCTTCTCTAGAAAGGAAATTGATAGAAGAAATTACATTTTACACATGATCTTCCCTGAAGCAAACCTCCCTAATGATATTAAGGAAAACTGTCCAGATGATAGCTTTAACGAAATGTTTCGTCTCTTTTTATCAGATGAATTCGTTAGCTTTTTGGTTGAGTGTATGGATGGTAATAAGAGTAAGAATCAATTGATGCCTTTCATTAGAGAAAAGGTTCTCCTCTCTATTCTCAATAGAATTATGGAACCATACTACCACGGCATGTATTTTTCCCTAGAGTCTCTCTTTTTGAAATACTATTGTCTATTCAAGCTCTCCCCACATGATGATAATAGACCAATCTTATTGTTAGAAAGTGAGAAGAGTGTAAAGCAAAATAAGAAGGATTTCAATATTATCACCAATGACATACAGACTATAATTTGTAATCTGTGGAGTTCCTTCTTTAATACCATCCTCGAATTCAAGAGTGTGAATTCATCCTACAATCAACTCGTCATTAAGAATATGCTTGATCTAATTGTGAACAAGTTATCAGAGAATGTTGATATTCAAAGTGTATTGGAGTTACAACATGCTCTATTTACCAGATACTTGTTGCTCATTGAAATCCATCAACAGATTGAGGGATGTACAACCAATAGTGTACAGTTCAAGAAATTGGTGTTCAACTTTCTCAAGCTTACTTACCTCTCTGGAATCACTACGAAATCAGCAAAACTTGTCGATCAATTTGAAAAGTTTAACACGAAATTCTTTGCCATTCTCACTAGTCAGTACAGCTCCATGTCACTGAATACCAACTATGTTATGGCAGAAATGGAATGCTTTATTCCAAGAAACTTGACAGAATGTTTGACCTTCTTGAGCGTTATCACATCAGAAGGGGAGCAAGATTTGGAAGTTCTCTTCTTGGAGTACATGTCCAAGTTGTTGAACTTGAGTATTTACATGCAAGGTATTCTCAACACTAACGATAAGAATCTTCAAGAAATGAATGCAAGCGTTGGGAAAGATTTCTTCCACATAGCCAAGAACCTCAAATCTCCAATTATTCTTTCAATCCTCAATTCCCTGCAGAATTATCTCATTACCTCCTTTTTTGAAAATACTATATCTATTCCAGAGTCTCCACAATTGGAAAATCAATTTAAGGAACGTATTTTAACTAGTGCCAGTCAATTTGAACATCAAGATCATTTCTACTTGAGAGCAAGTAATTCTCTAATTCGAGGAAAAGATTTGTCAGAGATGCGGAAAGAGTCAAAGAAAGTATTTATAAAATAATCTTGTAATATTATTTACCATAGTATGGGATTGTGTTCTTCTTTCTGGAGAACCAAACATTTCTCTTACCAGTCTTGCCCAAGTATGCAGTGATTGCTTCAACTGAAACTTCGCTTCCTCTAAAGATTTTTGGTGTGGATGATTTGAAAAAGAGTCCTGAAATTCCTGAGCTATCTTCTAAAACAACAACCTTATCATAGTATGCATTCAAAATGTAACGAATGGGCACAGCATCGTCTGCTGTCAATTCAGTAATAATGTGATCAATCATAAAGGAGAGTGTTCTCAAACCACCAGCAAAGACATCATCTGACTTTTTAGAAATATCAACCTTTAGCAAATTGATATGAATATCTGCCGAGAAGTAGTCCTCATCGAGTGAGATGGTTTCAACAGATCCTGGAGTCTTACTTTCAGTTTCCTCATCTGCAGTAACAACATTTGTAAGATCAGCATTGTACTTGGTTGAGTATTGAATATATTTTCTGGCATCTCTGAAAACAGCCAAGTTTTTAACTGAAACCAATTTGTCAACATCATTTAGAGATGCAGAACTCTTAATCACTTCCACCATTTTTGGTTGAATTTCATACGAGATAACTTTACAACCCAACAGTGCAGGATAAATTGAATAAAATCCCAAATGAGAACCAACATCAACAATGAGACACTTCTTTCCAGTTATTTTTGAATCTCTTTGGAATTTCTCAATTAACATTTTGAATAGTTCTTCAGTTGCTGATTCCCAATTGCCATATCTAACCATGTGCTTTGAAAATCCAGTATCTCTAGCAGGATTCAACACTCTCATATAAAAGGATGGATTGGTATTTGTTTTTACAATATACCCAACAAGTCTATTATCATCTCTAACCAATGGAATCAAACCCTTTGGTTTGTTAGATTGTACAGCAATTAAAATCATAAATATCAATCCAATAACTGCCAATACAGAAATAATCAAATTCCTTGAAGGCAACTTGTCCAAAAATGTTAAATATTTCGCTTTAATTCCACACATTCTCAATAAATTTCTAAATATTCTCGGAATGAAAGAAAAGATACTTCCAAGCCTTCTCATCCAAACACCAGAAAAAGCCTTCACCGATTTTTCTCCCAAAATATTACTTTCATGATTTAATATTAATGGGAGTTGTTGATTTAAAGTACTACCACCACCACCACTAGTAGCCATCTCCTCATCCTTTGATGGTGGCGATCGGGAAATTATATTAGATGAAACTGTTGTTGTTGTATTGGATCGGTTAAAGTTAGTCATGATTGGTGCGAGTTCATCATCATCGGAATTATTTATTCTGATCAAAGATGACGACAATGAAGAATCATTA